TTTTTTATGTATATATTGATAAATCTGACTTTCTTGCATATTATTATAATGTTTAGAAATAGGATATATTTCTTGTAAATTATCAGATTAGAACCTTTTAAATTCTTTAGATGATGCTCTAACAAAAGGCTCACTAGAAGCCAAATCAACTTTATTCTACATATCATCCTGAAACCATCGTATTGGCATCATCTTAATATGAAACAATGCATTTGAATTTTCTACCATGAGTTTAAAATAATGTTGACAAATAGTTTCATGTGATACTAACAATAAGCATATACATAAATGCATTCCATCCTTGAGAAGAATAATATGCTGATATGAACTTGTTGTCATATATAGAACAATTCTCCACACTTCACAAATTAATTCTTTTGAAACTGAATTTATTAGTGTTTTTAAATATGCCTGTCAATAGTCATAATGGTCTTCAATATTTGTAATGTCTTCATTATCTTGATTATCCGCTAATGGTACCTCATTCTAAAATTATATAATATATACTAGTTAATATATCTTTAACTAATACTAACACTAAACTAACTCTAAACTAACTTTAATCTAATCTTAACTCTAACCACTAGTATACTTTGTATAACTCTTTCCTAACTCTAAACTAACCTTAAACTAACCCTAACTCTAACCACTAGTATATTTCGCATAAATCTTTTCTTATACTAAATTAACTCATCTACCTTAAATTAATTTATACTCTCTTACTACTATTAATTAACACTAACCCAAACCTTAATCTATAATAATATTCACTTAATAAATACTAATATAAGAATCCAAAATAGATAAAAGAAATTATAATTAACTTACTAATTGATCTTTAATAAATTCAAAAGCTTCTTCATTAGGTACCTTTTCACATTTATATAGTACAGATTCGCACATTTGTGTATAGATCGCTTTAATAATTCGTGGTGAAAAATATTTTTTTATTAAGTCATTTATTTTATTAAAAAAGTTCTCTACAATAAATGGTTGTTGATATATTGTTGACTTGTATTTCTAAGCTATAAAACTCTTATTCATAGCTTCTTGTTGCATTCGAGAATCTAACATTTCTACTATATTAGCTATAGAAGAACTAGCAGAAACAGCTTTGTGGATAAGCATATTTATTGACTCAACACGTTGTGTTGACTACATGCCAACTATAAATATTCGGCTTGTAAAAGCATGTACCCAAAAATAGCATGTTGTATAAATCGGATCATACAAATATTCATTAGCATTAGGATATATATCCAATAAAGTTTGAAACCTTTGTTCAAAAAATATTAACACATAATGCATTGCGCGTTTTCCAAAAGTCATTAATAAATGCTTTGTAATTAGCAGAACCAAGTTTATTTTTAAGCTATTTGAGTAAGTTTTAAAATAAGTGCCCAATACAATATACATGATAAGCATTATTATATATATTTTGACAAGCAGCATCTATGGCTGGGTCTATATCTGTTAAAATAACTTGTAGTTCAAGACCAGTTGCATCTAATGTCTGTTGTAATATTCACTCATAACTTTCTTGTATCTCATTATTTATAAAGGCTTGTGCCCCTAACTGTGATTTTCCATCATTATCAACAAGTATAAACAATAATAAAGGATAGTTATATTTATTAGTTCTTGAGGTGTTATCATGTAAAATAACATCTGAGTAACGGGTCCACAACATAATTTGGTTCTCTGTCATCCAAAATATACCATATAATCTATCACTATCCATATTAATAAGAGGTTGTATAAATATCATAGGCTCTTTTTTTGGGTTTTCAAGAAGATACTTTAATAATTGAGAGGCGTCTGAGCCAGCAATATTTTTTTTATGTTTTATTTTTTGTATAGTATTCAAGAGATCTTGGGTAAGAAAAAGTTGATCAGGAAATAATGGTTGTAATAAGTTCCTTATGGTGTATACATCACAATGACCATAAATTACAGCACGTTTAATTTCTAACATTATGGCTTGATCAAATTTTTGGAATGTTGTAGCAAACTTTGAATTATCGGCAATTAATTCATGATTATAGACAAGCTTTACAAAAGTCATGTATATATCATCGTTATTTTCATGTTTGCTTAAATTGATATACTATTCGCAATTAGATTTCTTTGAACCTTTATTGCATTGTTGGTTTGATGGTTTCACTTTATTAGATTTATATATTCTAGCCTTTTCACATGCAAATGTTCTTTTTTTTACTAATTGGTCGGCTGAGAATTGAATACGATATTTTTTAACTGCAAACCCCTTTTTTCTTCTATACTCCTTTATGTAATATTCAGCAGCTTTCCAAGATTCAAATTGTAAGCCAATATACAACTCAGTAATGTTATCTAATTTTAAATAAAGACAGATTAAAGTTAATTGCCACATTAGATCAAACAAATCATTACTAATAATATAATTCAGAACTAAAAAAAGTTACATAATATTTTTACCTTTTTTAAAACTTAATGAATATACAGAATCTAATCCAAAATCTGATGCCACACTAGATCTACTTTCTGCTAGTTCCAAATTCAAATTTACACTACCATTACTTTTTACTAAACTTTTACTATTTTCTCTTACTTCCAAACCTAAACCACCTTTATTTTTTGCCAACCCTACATATAATTTATCATTAGACCATCAAGTTTGTAACTAATATCGAGTTAAATAAATACTAACCTAATTCAAGCCCCAAGACAGGCCCAGAATTATTCTCACTTGCTTCCAGATCCATACCATCTTCCAATTCTACAAAAAAAAATATAGTATTAGATCACTAAGTTTATGACTAACAACAGAATAAATATAATACTAACCTAATTCCAGACCAAAAGTAGATCCAGTATTAACTTCACTTACTTTCAAACCCATACAACTATTATCTTTTACTATCCCTGTAAGTTATATATCATATTAGATAACAAAGTTTATTAATAACAACAAAGTAAACTGAAAACTTACCTAATTCTAAACCTAAAGGTTCATGAATATCTTCACTTACTTCCAAACTTGAATCCACACAATTATTACTTTCTACTAACCCAGCAATTTATTCTGTTAGATCAAGATTTAATAGCCAGTAACAGAATAAAAATAATATTTATGTATCTAAACGCAAACTAAGAGCTGGCCCAACCTTATCTTCATACCCTTCGAAATTTACAATAAATTGTTTGTAAGCCTATGAAGCTTATACTAATATAAAGTTAAGTAAATGCTTACCCAAACCCAAACTAAAAGTGGTTCTAGAATTGTCTTCACACTCTTCAAAGTCTGCAATAAATTGGTTATTAAGTCCTCAAACTTATACTAAAACAAAGTTGAATGTAATGCTAACCTTTGGTGCTCTCTTCTGCTTAATAAAACAAAGCCAATAAGTGTATATACATATGTATGTACTGTGCTTATTTAACACAAAGTTGAGTAAATGCTTACCCAAATCCAAACTAAAAGTGGTTCTAGCATTGGCTTCACACTCTTCAAAGTTTGCAATAAATTGGTTATTAAGTCCACAAACTTATACTAACACAAAGTTGAATGTAATGCTAACCTTCAGTACTCTCTTCTGCTTAATAAAACAAAGCCAATAAATATATGTACATACGTATGTACTGTACTTATTAATTAAAAAAAAAAGTAAACCAGACGTATAGTTATACAAAAGATCTATTTTCGTATTGTGTACAACTAAAGAGAGTAAAGATTAGATATCAGTATCATTATGCATTATTCTTATGTACAGTGTATATCATGTGATTTACATAGGTGCGACGACATCACATGTGCGATATATAAATTTATTCTTTATTTAATTTTATATTAATTTATTATTTATAAGATTAAATTTATTTATTAGAATTTTTATAAAATAAAATATAAACTTATAATATTTTTAAAATATTTATTTTTTAATAATTGATATTTAAATAATACTAATAAATTATATTTTTATATAGAGTACTACTATTTACACCACAATTTTTGCTATTTGCACTATTAGTTTGACCAGAATTAGTTAGAGTTAGGGTATAATTTTAGTCAAATTGTTGGTGCAAATAGCAATTCTTTTTATATATATTTAAAAATTAAAATTGCTTTTAAACTTTTAATTTTTATATATTAGTTGGAAATTTAATTATAATATTAATAAAATATAAAATAATTTTATATTATATTATAATATTCATTGAATATTCAATGAATATTTGAATATTTATTTAAAATTTTCAATGAATATTTGAATATTAAAAAGATTGAACAAATGAATATTTGAATACAAATTTTTTGACCAGATCAGACCTCTATATATAGTATATAAGTGCTGTATTTTCAAAGATCTTACATCTCACATTAGTAATAAAATACTTACCTGGCCAAATTCACGCCTTTTTTGAGAGTAGTATAAAAATTAATCATCACACTATATTAAATATAGATAACTTTTTCCTATTTTATAATAATTAAAAAGATTTTTAAACTCTTCATTAATATATTATATTGTATTTTAAAGCAAATTATATTAGATAAAATCTGAAGATTTAATAATTTTTTAAAAAGATAATTAATTTCTATAAAGATTTATTTCTAGAATTTATATTATAATCAGTAGATAAAAAAAACTATTATCTATAAATTTAGTAATTGTAAGATTTAATTATTCTCTTTTACTTTGTATAAAAGATATTTGTGTTTTGATCTTTTTAATATTTTCTAAATTTCTTTCTATATTATCTTTACAATATTTGCCACCAAACATTCTACTCTTTCATTATATACAAAATAATGATCTGAGTATATAATTTTAATAAAGTTAACTTGATTTAATATTGTATGCAAAAAAAGATTTTTTTAATATATAGTGTATATAAAATATAACTGACTATAAGTAATTTAAATATCTAGCTACTGAAAACAAAAGTGCAAATATAATAAGATTTTCTAATTGTATTGTAAAATTACCATGTTTTATTCCAAGTTAATAACTTAATCAAAAGCTAGTCTAACAAAAACAGAGATTTTATATTTTTAATATAGAATTTTTTTATTAATTTTTTAATATTTTATTTTGTATAATTATAA